TGGGAGGGGGAAGGGTAGTAGTAAGCAAACAGCTCTTAATACTGTAGATAAAATCTGGAGAGTTGTCAAAACAACGCAGAGATCATACCTATTTCTGGCACACGCTGAAGGCTGCTCTCTTTATTAAGTGATCTCCCCACCCTACTCTAACCTAAAAGCAGATCTTGTTTTCAGATTGCAGTGGTAACTCCAGAGAATGATAAATGTCCATCACCACCTCAGTCTGGATCCTCCAGACCTTTCTGAAAGTGCAACAGCTTGGGGTAGATCTCAGACTATGGCACAGGAGCTGTGGGTCTTTCTGAGTTGTTTTAACCCAAGAGCTGATGTGGCCGGAGCACAGCAACTCAGAGCAGGTTATACCCAGCTTTCTTTTGCAATCAGAGCCATTCTTCTCCCAGTACAAGACAATTCATTGTGTTCAAATTGGTAATGTGGGACCAAAGCTGCCACACAGAATGTTGGTCCAGCCTGAGCTCATTCCTCCTGCTGAAATTTGCTGGTGGGTTAACTCCACGCTGTGAAGCTTTACATCAGATACTGTTTATCTGCACCCTTCTTAATTCATGCCAGATGAAATTCACAACTCTGAAGCAGTGATGTTCAGTTTAAGGGGTTTTTTCCCTCCTAAGACCTGTCTTTTTCAAATGTCTCCAAATTAGACAATCGCTAGGGGCACTGATAGTTGTTTTCCTTTTAAGTCAGAGGCACTATTTGCTTTTTCAGTTCCTCAGTTGTTTTATCTCTTATTATGTTGAATCATTTTGAAAGCTATATCTTCCATTTAAAAGTCATATCCCATTATCTAGGAGGGAATTTGAAAAGGTCGATGTTAAAAGAAAACACAAGCTAAAACAACCCCAACACTCAAGCCTTCAACACTAACTAACCCATACGATATTGAAGGTTAATTAGACTTTAAGAAAATGCACAGGCAATACATGTGGCACGCTACTGATAAAATGACATTGCTTAAAATGAATTAAATTATTGTAGAACCTCACTGAGGCACTAATCATGGGCAAACCACTGGAAAAATTTTAATGTTTCTTCAGGCTGGGATCTCTTTTAGCTAATGAACAAAACAATACAATGTACTCTTGTGTGTGGTCTTCAACAATTTCAGTTGAGTTTTACTCAGTGCACTTGCATATATGTTGCACAAAATAGCAGCTGTAGTGTATGATAGTCCTGGAGACACTGGGTGGTCTTTGAAGAGTGTGAATTAGCAATATGTTGTGGGGTGTTTTATGGGGAGCACAAGATAATCCCAATTGCTTCTCCATGTCTGCCAGCATTTAGGTATTGAAACAGATGCAGTAAGTACTGGGTAGAGGCACACATGGACATTTGAAAAACTGAAATCAAGTTAAACATGTTATTCAGCTTTCATTCCTCTCTCAAAGTCTTAAAATTGCATGCTGGTGCACATTTGCTGGAGCATGAAAAGTAAAGTATATGTTGTGATTTGATCTCTTTTTTAGCAGCAAAGGTCTAAGTGTGTGCCCTGTATATAATATGGGCATATAATGTGCTCTGCTAATAAATAAATCAATCTGATCTGAGAACCCAGCTCTTGTTTCTCAGATAACTTGTTGACAGACTGGTAAATGAAATTGCTCAGATTTCTTCATGCTGTAACCCTTGAAAATGTTACAAACGCTTTAACGACAGTAAGTCTGAAGACCCAGCAGCACCCAGAATCCATATTGCTAACACATGAACAGCCTTTACCATCTGCAGAGCCTTCAATCAACTCCATTATATTCCTCCCAAAGACAGACACAAAATGCATTTGACATTATCACAGTTTCGTTAGCTAAAATTTCACTATGTGATCTCTCAGGCAACCCTCACCTTTAGAGGCAAATGCAGATCTCATCTATTTGGCTTTGCTGCTTCTGAGAATTCAAAAATACAAACTAAAATCTTAGATTTGAAAGAAGTGTCAGGAGAAGGACTCCGGGAAATAAAGAGTAATTAGTTCCACAAACTTTAGTTTGATGGCACTTGGATACTCGAAGACATATGCTTCTTGAGAACCTGCTGGGGAGCAGAAGTCACAGATACTCGCAGATGTGTAATCACAACATGAACACAGTTCTGCAAATTCTTAATCAAAAGGAGCAGGCAACATGGAGTTATCACAACCTTAATTCAAGCTCTTGAAGATAAGGCATTAAAATGTCTTAAACCAGATAATGTTGCCTCCCATTTCAGTTGATCATTAAACTTATTCCATCTGTTTGGGGTTGCAGCCCTGACTGACTCCCTCTGAATAGAAATTGATGCATGAAAGCATCACAGAGGCAGTTCTGCCTGTACCATGATTAAAACACACAGAGAGATACCTGTTAGGACTGTTACACAAAATAAAAACACATTTTCTTCCTTTTGCATACCTTCAAAACACATCCCTCTTTTAACCCAAACCCTTAAAAGGGTGTCCTTGTCACTGCAAAACTGAAGAAAACACTGGAAGTTGGAGCACATCTTTTAACAGTTTCCAGGCAGTCTGTCTCAGCCCGGAGCAAAGAAGGGCCTGGTAAGCTGCCTTCCATCTTCTCAACTATCCTTATCTCTAGTTCTGTTTCTAAGGTCAGTAAAAAACATGCAGAAGTGATTATGCAGGAACTAGCTCTGAGGGATTACACTATTTGTCAAAGTAGTAACAGTGAATTCAATATGCGTAAATCTCTTCTCCCTGTGCAGTAGAGCTGTGCTCTGGAATACCAGTGGGATACTGATAGGAGTCATTTCCTAGGCAGTTTACCTTTGGGGAAAGTTTGTGGTTGATATATAAGAAAGCCATTTTTTTAAGAACCCACAAGTTGCAAGGGACAGTCCCATGGGCCCTTTCTGCCAACAAAAACAGCTGATTTACTTTGCACTTTTATCAGTGACCCAGAAAAAAAAAATAAAATCCTTGCTGATAAATTTGGCAGATGACACAAAGACTGGGGGTGAAGAAAGAAGAGAGGTCACTGATGTGGGCTGAGCTATTAGTAAACAAACAGCACATTTTCTAATCCCCCCCAATACAATGTGACTGTAGTAGGTCATTACAGAATATGACTCTGTCCTGGAAAGCAAAGACAGCCTGATTACAGAGAATACCCAATCCCTGAGCAGCTGTAGTGGCCAAAAGACCAAATCTTTAACACACTGGTGAGAGAATTTTGGGATACAGAGTTTGTCTCCTGGGATGTCCAAGGGCACTTAAGGGCTGCCAGAATATGGGCTCTCAGTGAGGAACACCAGCTTCCATGCTGTGGTGTCCCCGAGGTTGCCACGTGGATGTGTGAGTCTGGTCAACAACCCAAACAGCTTTAGACCACCACATCACCTTGTAAGCATTTCAAACACAGTCTAGATGCAGCCAGTCCATTCCATCCTGGTGTCTGTGGGCTAGAAAGGTGTTAAGCTGTAAAGCAGAGTAGGTGCAGAAAATTTGCCTCATGTAGTAAAAGGTTGCCAGGAAAATGAAGGGTTGGATTTGATCAGCCTGTAAGAACAAAACTTCATACTGGGTTGTGTGGTACAGAAGATGGAGGTAATACCACCCAGAAGCTGCAAGTTGAAACTGGGCAAGTTGAGACTAGACTTTAGAAGTGCTGATGTTTGACTACTAGAAG